GGGTTTCAGACGTACACCGGCTCACACCCTTCTCCCTGCTCCCCATCGTCCTCGTCATCCTCCTCTGCATTGTCTTCTACCTCGTCTTCCTCCTCCTCATCTGGACCCATGAAGCCTGCCCCTGTGAAGCTGAGGGACATTTCTCCAGCCTCCAGCGGCTTGGGGTAGCGGAACGGGCAGCCGTTGTCGTCAAAGAACCTGCGAAACGTGAACTCGTAGAAGGCGTGCTCCGGGTGCTTCCCGTGCGGGGAGCAGAGCAGGTCCAGAGCTCTGGTGCTGTCACCACTGTCGCTCCACGCCCCTGGGCCACCCTCCTCCTCTACAGGGTCGAAGTTGGACGTATCCATTGGATGAGCAATCTTGGGTCTGTACAGCGCCGGCTGCTGCCGAAGGTTGCTGGAGAAGTCCATCTCATTGAAGAACGGGTGGGCCTTGATTTCAGCGGCACCGTTAGCACCGAGCCGATCCTCCGCGGAGCAGCAGAGGCGACCGATGATGTCTACAGCCTCGGGACTGAGTTTAACCTGCGCGGGCACCTGCAGCGTGCTCTCCCAGTTAATGACCTGCAGAGGGCGAGAGATGAAACATGAATAAACTGTTGGTCAAGTAAATGTAGAGAATAGGGGTCAGAAATAGAGTATTTTCCAGGGAAACGGCAACAATTTAAATTAAAATAAATCACAGAAATGATTATGCTTCCTTCACTGACTTTAATCTGAGTCTCCGTGGGTGTAGGAGCCAGGAAGGGTGGCTGTCCGACCAGCATCTCAAACAGGATCACTCCAACACTCCACCAGTCACACAGCTGCGTGTAACCTGCACACGGGACACAGATGTTAGCGCTCGAACCCTTCTGGAAGTATTCCTCCTCCTGTGCCTTTTCCACCAACCTTTGCGCAGCAGCACCTCAGGTGCAATGTAGTTGGGTGTCCCCACCAGTGAGTGAGCCAGGCAGCGCTGGTGCTGTCTGTTCGCCCGCTGCTCCAGTGTCATCAGCCGGTCGCCACAGCGACAGTTGGACACGTCGTCCCAGAAGTCACTGGGCTCCATGCTGTCCTGTCTGATGTGACTTCCTGAAGACGGAGGAAAGAGGAAAGGGACGTTAGGGTTGCACAGATGAAATATTGTACCTACAGATGATAACACGTCCACAGGTTTCAGCGACCGCCTCACCTTTCTGGTAGTATTTGGAGTTGTGTGTCCAACGGAATCCCGTGCACAGACCGAAATCCGTCAGCTTGATGTGTCCATCCCGGTCAATGAGGATGTTGTCAGGTTTGATGTCTCGGTGGATGAAGCCCATCTTGTGTACGCTCTCGATGGCCAAGGTCAGCTCTGCTACATAGAATCGAGCGAGAGGTTCCGGGAAGACGCCCATCCTAATGAGTAGACTCATCATGTCTCCTCCCGGGATGTAGTCCATGACGAAGTAGAGGCTGTCGCGGTCCTGGAAGGAGTAGTAGAGACGCACCACCCACTCGTTGTCCGCCTCTGCCAAGATGTCACGCTCCGCTTTCACGTGAGCCACCTGCGTCAGAGGTGTCAGCGGTTCAAAGGACAGACAATTCAATGGACGTACAAGGAACAAAGACTTAACATACGGTCAAAACCAAATAAAAAAAACACAACAAAAGTCCAAAGTAACCAAGACATGCTGTAGCATGCTTACAGGTAAGAATGAACTAATGCATCAAATCACCTGGTTCCGGTTCAGAACGTCTTTCTTGCGAAGTGTCTTCATGGCATAAAGTGCACCGGTGTCCACTTTGCGTGTGAGACACACTTCACCAAAGGCTCCGATGCCCAGCGTCTTGATCTTGACAAACATGGACTTGTCCATTTTGGCTCGGCGCAGCCTGTTGTAGTTTGATTCTTTCTGGTTCAGCATCTTCCTCATCTGCTCCTGCTCTGCCTCCGACAGACCGGCCTGGACAGACATGGTGGAGACGTTAGGTTTCCATTCACGATTCGTAAGAAGCTAGGAATGTGTCATGAGCTCAGTCCAGAACTCTGTGACCTCCTGATGTCGAGTCCAACCCCTTCTGTCTACTGCGACAATATCTTTATTCACTTCTTTTCAAGTGGGTCAAAAGGTCAGGGGCCAAACCGGCACGTCAGGACAAACTCATGAAAACTGACATGACTCCTCAACCCAGGACAAAAAGACTTATTGGCCGTAACAAGCTTCAAAGACATTTTTGCGTGATGACCGCAAAAGACACAAACTATTAACTAACGTTTGCATGAAAACGTGTTTTCTTTGATTTTCTTTGAGATTTTAAGATAAACAGTATTGTACACACAAGTGCCTACAAACGCCTGTTTATTTTGATACTTGAACAAACCTAAATTAAGTCGTTTTTGCACCACAGTGTTACTGGCCAACTAGTGGATGAACTATTTTCCCTTGGCAGGCAAGTTGAAACATCATCGCACCAAATACCTTCATAAAAATATAAATATATATATGTAAAATTTCTAAAAATTCTCAGTCTCACCTTGGACATCTCTTGCTCCAGCTGAAGCCTGCGATTGAGTTTCTGCTGGTACGTCTTCATCACATTCTCTATGTGCTGCTCCATGTAGAACTTGAAGGCAAAGGGCGAGTAGCTCTTTATGCGAGACTCCCTCTTCTCCTCGTCCCGTCCGTTCCTCCTGACCGGCACGGGCGACGTCTGAATCTGCTTCTTGTCTTTCACCGTCTTCTCCGCCTTTCCCATCTTTGTCTTTTCTTTCACCTGCTGGGTCTCTTCTCCTTTGCCGCTGCTTCCGCTCCCTTGGTGTGTGCATCTAGCTGCAGGGTTGCCGATGTCCTGAGCTCCACACATGGCCCCGGCTACTTCCAGAGCCCCCGGCTCTCCCCCTGCCCCAGCCATTAGCAGGTTTTTGGGGTACGGTGGTGGAGGGCAGCGTGGCTCCTGAGCAGGCTCTAGAGGGTAGGTCTCCTCTGCCATGTAGCCCAGAGGCTCTGCTGCATCCTGCGTCTGAGCAGTCATCCAGCCTGGGTGACACGGTCCTACAGCCGTCTTGGGCTCCGGCCTCATCACGCGGATACTCTTGACCGGCTGTTGAATGGGCGGTGATGTCACGGCGGTGATGGTGTTAGGGGGGCCCATTTGAGACTCTTGTTTTCCGGCTGAAGGAGGTGCGGCCATTGCGTTTCGGACACCGTTGGGTCCTGCAGAACGACTGTTGAAGGAGTTGGTCCTGCTTGGAACGCGCACCTCCCCTCTGAATGGACCCTGTGGCTGCGGTTGCCTGGCCGGAGGGGCCCCTTCAGGGCCTGGGGGCCCCGCCCAGTGGTGCTCATACAGGTCCATGTTGAGGCTGGCCCTGGATGGCGTCATCAAGCTCTGCGGCAGGTCCGAGAAGTCAGGGCCGATAGCCGCCACCCCACCTGGGGAACGGGACATCATGTGGACTTGGTGGGATGTGGGGCTGGCCTGTCGGGGGTGGGAGTGAGGAGGCAAGTACAAGTTAGCAGGGTATCCTCCTCCGCCTGCACCCGGTCCCGGCTGCCCCATGGCTCCTTTACTCTGCATGTTGACGTAGTTGTCGGGGGCTACCATCGGCGGTGGTGCCATCTTGTTTTGAAAGGAGGGGGTCCTCTTGACACCGTAGCTGGCCGGTTCCATCATGTGTGGTCGAGAGTGACCGTAGTCGTAGTGTGGACCCGGGACAGGGCCTCCTGGTGGCTGTGGCTGTAGTTGTAGGGGCTGGCCAGAGATATTGTAGCCCAACATGGGCCCGTGCTGCTCCATACCCCCGGGGTAGCCTTTCTGCTGGGTCCCTGGAGGGTACATCGTGTTGTTTGCGTTGCTCTGGGTGGCCATCACAGGTGGATAGGTGCCCATACCAGGAGGTCGACCCATCGGGTTTCCCATGGCTGGAGCTTGGCCTCCACCAGCAGGCTGCATCATGTAGTTCATAACGGGTGGGCCGCCCAAATAAGGTCGGGACATCTCACCCTCAGGACCGTACCCCGCTGCACCATCGTACATGGGGGCCCCCATCTGATGGTACGGAGGCATCACACCAGACTCACCTGAGGCTTCCATTGCAGGCCTGTGGTCCATTGAATTTGGCATACCAGCTTTTCCTACCAGGAAGAAGAAAAAAAAAACTTCAAACCTAACATTTTATCTTGAACACTTTCTGAGAAAACTCACGATCAACACACAAACTCTTAAGTGCGGCCACTGGGGGCATTATTACCTGGAGAAGTTTGTTTGATGACTCGGACGATCTGCTCATTGCGTGGATCTAGGTAACTCATTTTACTGATGTATTCTAAGGCCGCTTCAATGTTTCTGCTTCCTGTCTGCTTCAGTGCCCGCACTGCCATCTCCTGTAAGGAAAAAGCAAAACATTTTGTTGAAGTATTCTTATTCTTATCACAGCAACAATTCATTTTCTCGATATGTGGATATTGCCATAATAAATAATAACCATATAAATGAAGTGAGCCACCGGGTGATCAAACACCTGCATCCTCCTGACTGAAGGTCACACACCAGTAACATCCTGTTCCCGTCACAATACCAGTTCAAATAGTATCAGAACAAACTGAAGTACAAAGACTCTAACATAAGTCCAATTTTGTTGCATTTGGTGTGAACACACCCTTGGGCCCATGTAGTGCTTTGAACGCCCTCTGCTGGATGACTTGCTAACTATTTCAGACTCTAAGGGATTTGGGTTTAGGTTGTAAAAATACAGTGGGATTCTTGCCTTCTAACTAAATTTTAAACTATGTTTTGGATAAAAAACATTAATTCTTTGCTCATGAAATGTTTGTTTTTAGTCAAGAGGGATTGGGGTTTAGGTTGTAAAAATACAGTGAAATAGTTGCCTTCTAACTAAATTTTAAACTATATTTTGGATAAAAAAAAACATTAATTCTCTGCTCATGAAATGTTTGTTTTTAGTCAAAAGTAGAATAATATTTAACTTTCAGCAAGACCGAGGCAGAAATGGAACAAAAAAATATTTTGATTTATAGGACAAATGTTTATAGATATAAATATAAATGAAACTCTAACGTACAAGTTCCTATAAACAAACACCCACTATACATAGGGCGTAGAAAGTGTGTGGTATTTCCTGCCTTTCAGAGCGGACCAAGCCCACTGTTTCTGCTCTGGTCCTTCTCTTGAACTAACCACTTTTCTCAGATGAAGAAAAACACATTACAGTGAATAACGATAATATAAATAATGTGGCTTTTTATCAAGTTGATCATAAAACAACAAAAGCCAGTTGATAGATCTAAAACACGACCGTTTCTGCTGCAGTAGCACCGACGGAGCGAATGACTGAGTTGTTGAACTGGAGCAAAGTAAACAGCTCCTTAATGGGCCATAAAATATATTTTATGTCTGTTTATGTTTGATCAGGAACACACTGTGAGTGTACTATAATCATACATGGCTGGATGATGTGTCAGGGTCAGAGACTACATTGTTTACTGAGTAATTAACTGGTCACTGCTTTTTAGCTAATGCATTCTTTATCAAGGTTGGAATCAGATATTATATACAAAAACATGGGATTAATAATCGTTAGCCATTTTTGAGATAGTTTTGAGTAACTGTGTCTAATATTCTGCAAAAGTTATCTATATATTGGCTTGAATTTAGTATATTATGGCAAATACATTTGAAGCCTTTATTTTACTTTTACGATTTCTGGGAGTTTCAACTAATTTTTGCTAATTTCTAAAACACTCTTACTGTCTTCTGATAGTAACAGCTCTGCTATTTTTGGCCAGGTTTTCCGAAATATAAAGAGATTCAAAGCTGCAAAGTACCAGGTAAGTATTTTCGGGCTCGTAATATTATATTTCTGACTTTGTTGCTGTTTTTACTATGCAGAATTAATTTTAAAAAAAGTGTATTCTCATAACGTTGGAATTTTTTGGGAGAGATTTCTTGTCTTAATATAGCCGGTAACCAAAACATCTTTGAAGTCATGACACGTGACCTTATAACCTCATCACCTTCCGAATGTTCTACCCAAGAAAACATATAAACCAAAGTCTGACGTCCAAATATCTGTCTTTCAATCACCGGCCCCAGGACCAACTCATAAATGAGGAAATCACCTACCACAACTATAACTATGGTTCAGACATTTACGCAATTGCACACAAGGAATGTTGAAAATTTTACAATTATGTGCTGTTATATGAATCCACCAGTAAAATACAACAAAGTGTGTCCTGTCAATCAACTACAGTCAATTTTGGATTTCTACAAATATTCTTTCGCAGACGGCCAGGCCTCTAACGTGAACCAGGAGAAGTGAGCACATTATTCTGACTCTCAAATCTTTACAACAGTGTGCAGATTATTTTAGAAGATTTTAAAGTGCAGCGGTGAGTTCATAAATCAGTCAGCGGCTTGGAAGAGCG